CTATTCAAAATCATTTCCCTTCCAATAAGAAATCATTAATGTGATGTTAAATAGCTAAATCAGACATCCTAGTGGATAGAAACTCTAATAAATGTAACTGCATATTATTTTGCAAGCTAGTACATTATGACACTCATATACAACCAAAGATTTTTGGTATTTGCTTTTAAGGTTTACTTCCTCAGATAATTTGAAATCCAATTTAAGTCTTACCTCAGCTTCTCTAAGTTTTGTAAAATTTGACTGTGCTCCAATATAGTATGAAATGCCTTTTGCTGCACCTTCTAGAGTTGCACCTCGTATTAACAGGATGAGCAGGACCACATAGGGAAAAAGAGCTGTAAAATATACCACCTATCAAAAAAAACAACCAAAAGTTGATGTTATTTTTTAAATCACGATAAATAATAGCAAATAGGTAAAATTAAGCAAGTTGAGATTAGTAAAATAAAGTACTGAGGATTTCATATGGTCATTAATAAGTCTGATGATACCAATACCAACGTTAGCATAATTTCCTATTTCTGTTCTCACCATTCTCGAACGATCCATTTTCAAAAATACTTTGATGTATGAAGGAATATTTCCTAGATTCATGTTGTAAATAAACAACATATCGACAGTGATAACTTGGAATATAGATGGAATGCTTTCCTAAATATATCCTTATAAATGTCTAAGGGGACTGAATGTCTTTTCTCAGTAAAGTACTGCATTGACATGAGAAGGGAAATGATTTTAAACCCTACAATGATTAGTATATATTCAGCCCCCAAGCAGAAGGAAAATATCTCCTAGTAGATGTCCAAATCCCATAAAAGCTTATTAAAGTGAATACTGGACACTTGTTACTATTATCCATACAACTACCATTAAGAGAGTTTGATAGCACACATACAAGCTCACTACTTTTTTTCTAGATAACACTTGTCTGCTTGTAGTTCCATATGAACAGATTACCTTTGAGGCTGGCTTTTAATTAATGTGGATGATTTCTTTGATCCATATATGTCCTATGTTTGATAATATGTCCAAGGATAGAATTTAAACAAGTCATCCAGAGACCAATAAAAATTAATTGCCTGGGTAAATGGCCTTTAATAGACTTTTTAAATTATTAACGTCAGAAAGGAACCAAGAGTTTCAAAACATTTTGAAAAGTTTCCACTGGACTTATGATGTTCACAGTATTTTTGTGATGTAACAGCATGTCTCATTACAACTTAACATGCCGGATAGTGTACTAGGAATACAAAGATAGGATCCACAGTTATTCCTGTTCTCCACCGTTAAGGAAATTTCAGTCAACTGGTTAAAAACACACAAACATTCATTTTTCTGGGTACCGTGTAACTGCTCCCAGAGAAAATTTCATGTTGCTCTCTTAAATTGACATCATGCTCTATGAAAAATTTAAAATTCAACAATGAGGTAGGAAAATATAACAGAATGTTTTTCAGAAGAAGCCCCTTCACTTAGAGAGAAGGTTCTGAGTCAATTTGGGAACCTTTAATTTAAGAGAGGATTTCTCTCTCTCTCTCTCTCTTTTTCTCTCTCTCTCCAACTAGTGCAGACCCAATACTCTTACCCTATCATAACAAGGCTCTAGACTTTCGAAATTAAACATTTCAATATATAATTCCATTCAAGATTCTTATTTATGTAGTGGGACAGAAAAGAATATACTCTGAAACCTCAGAATGCTGTATCAGCTAGAATGGTTCAAGTTTTGAGTGATTGAACAACTCTAATACTAGTTTTTGTTTGTTTTGCTTTTAACAACAGCAGTGATCTTTACATTTACTTAGAGGTAGGATGCCTACTTACAAAGCTTTTCACACATTTGAATGCTCCCATTATAGAAAAAAAAACATGCATTTAATAATGCTTGACATTGAACTACAATGAAATTGGAAAGCAGCTACATCACTATCTAATGTGTTTTCCAAATTACCTTGCCGGAAGACTTAATTCCTTTAAATAATGCTGCTCCAACTATCAGCCAAGCCAGAAGAAGACAAAGTGCTAAATACCACACAATTACTCCAGTCTCATCCATTCCACTTGACCGTTGGAGTGCCACTTTACTGAAACACATAAGCCCTTTTATGAACACAGAATCACTTGTCTTGAAAAAAAAAATACATTTAATTTTGTGATATTTTTCATCCAGGGAGAAGTTTCATGAGTATTGTCTTATTGGATACATCAGTGTCCTATGAGTCTCTTACTGATAGATACTATTATATGAAGGGGAAATATAATTTATTAAAAAGCCAGGCTATGAACTTCAGAGTTAACCATAGACAATCCAAAGTTCCAAGCCCTAGAATGAAAGATCTACTGATTCCTTCAGCTATGATTTTCCCTAACATTTCAAGATCCTTTATGTAAACAAATTAACCTTATATCAGATTATTTCATTTTATTCACTGCAATATTTTTCTCAAGTTAAAATAATAAAGAAAACATTTAAAATTTTATTTAATATTTCCTTATTCCATACTTGTAGATATCATCAAACCCCAATGGTCCCATTATTCATATCTTTTTCACAGGCTTTCTATAAAATTCCAAGATTTCCCCTAGGGACATGCATAGATCTAGGATCTTAATTCTAAGCCTGAGGTTTGAGAACATTTCAAGAACCAAAATTTAAAAGAGTCACAAAGGGCATTAACTTGCAGATGAGGAAGAGCTCATTTGGCAATAGGGTCAAGAATGTTGGGTAAGGGTATAGAGTAAGGAGAGCAAAGAGAGATCATTTAAAATTAATAAAAGTAAATGTAACCCAAATATCTATTCTTACGAGACAATGACAATTGTAAGCAAAACGGATGAGGAATTACAGCTTTAAAAGGCAACTTTGCCCCAAATATTACTCATCACCCAACTGTTTATCATTAGAACTTGTTCATTATCATCTCAAATTTGGAAATTTTTTTCTTGAAAGCAATTCCCTAATTTATAGCAAGTACGTACTAAACAAATCATTATAGACACTGTTATGCCAATTTAATAACTGATTTATAAAAGACAAATTGCTGACTATGAGCTAATTTTGCAGTTAACTACAATTTACCTAGGGTAGGTAACATGAGTCAAATGAAGTATAATTTGCAATGATTCCCCTTTTTCTATTTATGTGAATTAAGACAGAGGCCAATTAATATTTTGTTGTTGTTTATCAGAACATTTTAATAACATCTGATTAAGAGTAAATCATCTAGTGTACTTACTTCCAATATTGTTCACTGGGAAGCTGCCCTGGCTGATAAACTTCACTGCCATTGATGCAGGTCAAATTGTTGGTGTCTACCCAGCTTTTATTCATTTGGATGATATGTCCTATTCCTTCACTCACATTACAGTGAGTTACTAAAAATGATAAAAAAAAAAAATACAGACACAGACATGTACTTAGTTTTAGAAGAGTACTTACTCAGAAAAAATGTTTTAATGGTAAAATATTTAAATTACCATCCAAATTGTTACTTGGTGAAAGTGGAGTAGAATCTTACAAATGGAATAAGCCATGTACACTCAGCATCTTAAATCTTCTCTACTAAGCTGGGAGTATAAAAATCTACGCTTTTAAACAGTGATTGTATTTATAGTAATAATTTATTTATAGTAATAATAGCTATGAAGTAACAATTGTTTCATTTGGAATTTAGTGCTCTAAGGAGCTTCTAGTATTGTGGACTTATCAGACCAATACATACAGATAAAGTGATGCCTTTAAATTCCTCAGAAGCATTAAATATTTATAACTTTATCCTCTGATGTGCATAGGTAATAGTCTACAATATGGATGCTATATTATCCCCAAAATTAGCAACATATGACATAGACAACACCCACCATTTCCTGACACACACACGCTACTATCATGGATAGCACTTTTCTCTATTTATCACTTTCCCAATTTCTTCTTTCTCTCCTGCCCAGGATTTAGGCTTGCAAGAAGTACTCCTAGGCATGATTTATCCTTCCTGGCTGCTCTCAGAGATTAACATATTGTATTGATCAATTTTCAGATTATACATGCTATATTCTGCTTTTACTAATGGCCTATGGATCACTTAAAATTGTACCTAAATTGGTTAGAAAATGATTTAACCGTTTATGCTTACTTAGAAAACATAAAATAATGATGTGGAATTGACAATATTTTAAAAATAAAATCAATGAATTTTACCTATAGGTGATCTGCTACAGTTTTTATCTGACCAAGAAGAACAATTTTTCCATGGTAGTTCACTTTGAAAAGAAGCAAACATGTAGTAAAGACTATAGGCGATTATGACATTGTAATAGATCGTCACAAAAACGGATATCAGGACCATTGTAATTCCCACACCTGGAAGAGAGAACCATTAAAATGAAAAATAAACTCAAGTGAAATATATTTTGCTAATTCACAAAAAGGCTGCATCTCAATTTCTAAAAAATATATTGTAAAATGAAAAGATTTTCAAATAAGTATATGTTTTCCTTTTTATGCTGGGATAGTAGGGGTTGATACTATCTGAGTAGATTTTTTCCTAATTTAAAATTATTTTTGATGATTGGCTTTCTACTAAGACAGTTTTCAGTTGATAAGAAAAAGATATTAAAGCCAAGGGCAGAAGATTTGTATTAATCCCATCAAATTCATATAAAGAAAAACCCATGTCTATTACTCTTTCTCATTAAGTCTGCGAATTCTTGTCCAGAGTAGGCAGATTGGACATTCTTTAAACAAAACAAAACAACAAAAACAAAAAAACAATTCAAAGCTCATATCCTATTAGCTCACTGACCAACAGTTACATCTTCATCTATAAATCAACATTTTGAGAAGTAGAAAATGAAGCCTCTAAATTAATGACCTGAAAGGATAGTGTACAACATTTCTACAAGTATGTGTAAAGAAAATTCAATAATTCAGTGACAATCTGAATGTAAACTTCCAAAGTTTCTTTTTTTTTTTATTTCAGCATACTATGGGAGTACAGATGTTTAGTTTACATATGTTGCCCTTGCCCCCAACCCCAAAGTCCGAGCTTCAAGCCTGTCCATCCCCTGGATGGTGCGCATTGCACTCTTTGTGTATGCATATACCCATCCCCTACTCCCCCCTTCCCCCTGCCCGACATCCAATAAATGTTATTCTTTTTTTTTTTTTTTTTTTTTTGAGACAGAGTCTCACTGTGTTGCCCGGGCTAGAGTGCCGTGGCATCAGCCTAGCTCACAGCAACCTCAAACTCCTGGGCTCAAGCGATCCTCCTGCCTCAGCCTCCCGAGTAGCTGGGACTACAGGCATGCGCCACCATGCCCGGCTAATTTTTATATATATCTTTTTAGTTGTCCAGCTAATTTCTTTCTATTTTTTAGTAAAGACGGGGTCTCGCTCTTGCTCAGGTTGATCTCGAACTCCTGACCTTGAGCAATTCACCTGCCTCAGCCTCCCTGAGTGCTAGGATTACAGGTGTGAACCACCGTGCCCAGCCAATGTTATTCTCATATGTGCACTTAGGTGTTGATCAGTTAATACCAATTTGATGGTGAGTACACGTGGTGCTTGTTTTTCCATTCTTGGGATACTTCACTTAGTAGAATGGGTTCCAGCTCTTTCCAGGAGAATACAAGAGGTGCTATATCACCATTGTTTCTTAAAGCTGAATAGTACTCCATGGTATACATATACCACATTTTATTGATCCACTCATGTATTGATGGATACTTGGGTTGTTTCCACATCTTTGCAATTGTCAATTGTGCTGCTATAAACATTCGGGTGCAGGTGTCTTTCTTATAGAGTATCATTTGTTCTTTTGGGTAGATGCCCAGTAATGGGATTGCTGGATCGAATGGTACTTCTACTTGTATCTCTTTAAGGTATCTCCATATTGCTTTCCACAGAGGTTGCACTAGTTTGCAGTCCCACCAGCAGTGTATGAGTGTTCCTACCTCTCTGCATCCATGCCAACATTTATTGTTTTGGCACTTTTTGATAAAGGCCAGTCTCACTGGATATAAGTGATATCTCATTGTGGTTTTGATTTGCATTTCCCTGATGATTAGAGATGCTGAGCATTTTTTCATATGTTTTTTGGCCATTATTCTGTCTTCTTTTGAAAAGTTTCTGTTCATGTCCTTTGCCCACTTTTTGATAGGGTTGTTTGATTTTTTCTTGTTCATTTTCCTGAGTTCTAAGTAGATTCTAGTTATCAGCCCTTTATCGGATTTATAGCATGCAAAAATTTTCTCCCATTGTGTAGGTTGTCTATTTGCTCTACGGCCATACCACCCTGAACACGCCCGATCTCATCTGCCAAAGTTTCTTTAACTCAGTAGTTCCAAAATTCAGTTTAGCATACTCAATATAACTCCTATGCTTAAGACTAGCTTAAGAGGAAGGCTTCTCTAACCTTCCAGCACAGAATTCTATTCACCTCACTATGAATTTTATTTTGACGTTGCAATGAGGCTTTTACAAATAGTTTTCAGCAGCTAGCACATAGCAAAATGATATTTAATCTTCAGATAAAAAGACAGTTTGATGTCTAATAACAATCAAAGCATTTTTAAACCTTTACCAGTATCCTATCCTATTAGGAGAATCCAAGAAAAAATAGTGACCTGCCCTTCAACTTTTCTAAATGAGGCATTGTAAAAGATATGCAAAGGCAGTAAGACAAAGACTGCATGTGAAGCAGAAAAAAGCAAAAGCCTTGAAATTAATGCACAACAGGACTATGTGCCAAAAGAATTCAAAAAGAAAAAATAGGAAAATAATGACACCCTCACAACTGTCATTAATGTCCTTTCTAGCCCTTCTCATATTTGCAGGCCAGGATAAACAGAAACAAAAATTAACATTTGATTTTGAAATTCTACAGTGTCAAACTATACAGAAAAACAACAACAATGCATGCTTCTTTGCCTTAATATGTCAGAATTTTAAACAATTTTTTCTTCCACATAGTGAAGATAGCTATATGCACAAGTAGGCAATAATCATGATGAAGAAAACACTTTAATACCAACCTTGAAACAATGGAAGAATCCTCCAAACTGAAACTGGACCTAAGCTAGCAAATTGTCCCAGTGAACACTCTAGGAAGAACAAAGGTAAACCAGCCAATGCTAGCATAATTGCATAAGGTATCAAGAAGGCACCTAGAAAAGGCAAAAAAGAACCAAATCACTATTACATCTCAAAATCCTGATGGCACTTTGACAATCAGCATAACATTTAAAGCATCCTGATATAGTGGAATCAGTTGCTGGATTTGGGCCTAAAATTACTTTCTATGAGAAAGTAGTTGATTCTCTAAACCTTGGATTTCTCATCTATGAAATGGGGATCCGAGTATTACATAATGAAGTCATTCTGATTATTAAAAACAATAGCTTATACAAAGTAAGCCAGAGGAATTGAATGATGACAGGCTTTGGAGCCAAGGGTACCCAGGTTAAAATCCTGGCTCCACCATTTACCAGTTATGTGACCTAGGGCAATTTACCTAACCTCAGAACCTTTGATTCCTCATAAAAGAAGAGAACAATACCAACTCAGTTTGTGGTAAGGGTTCAAATACAGGGCTTATGTGAAAACACTTGGCAAAAGGGCAGGCACATAGCACATGTTTAATGTTAGTTTTCCTCCTTTCTCCTTTAAAAATAAATGGCCTATTTTTAAGACTTGGAGTACCAGTGCTAAATGTGGTTCAGAGTGCAAGTTATTACAATTAAGTTTATTATTCTCAAATTGTCACAAGGCCCTTTACTCAAAGTTGATAAGAAGCTTATTAGTTTTGTTAGAAAACTCTGAACTTTTGAGACATACTCATAGTTAACTTTCAATTTCATAGGAATAATTCTCCCATATTATTTAGCTCCCACCCTTATAAACCTTTTATCATTTTTTCCAACTTTTGAGGCATGATATTGCTCATTAGAACCCTTATCAAATTATAGGTTGAAGCAGGGGTAGAATATTAAACTTATTAATCAAATATTCTAGAAGTTTTGGCAAAGTTTAATTAAAAAAATGAGATCAGAGGATAAAAATGGGATTTTAGATTATGTACATTTCATTTACCCATGTTACACTTTTTCCTAAGTATTTTTTACATTATGATACTATAACATCATACCTAGGAATTACATTTTTTCCCAACCCACAAAATATATTCCACTAAAAATGAGGCAGTAAAGTACTTATTATGTACTCATACCTAAGGGACTTCATTTTAATGCTAACCCTGGAAGTCGCTAGGCCATAGGGACAAATACGTTTGTATAGATGTTGCAATGCACACACCATCATTGCTATGACTAATAGGAGTTTAAGTCCTACCAATGATAAATATAAAGAAAAGCAATACAAAATATCACTACTTAACTACAATAATATTTTACCAGCCCTTTGTGGACAGATATTTTGGGAAGAAAAGTATTATTTTCTTCAGTTGTTTTACATGACTTTTGACCCTGTATTTCATTATTAACAATAACTATAATTCATACATTGTTAATATAGTGGCCACAAATTGTTAATACTGCTAGACGCTAAAATGGTATGACACTTCTCTTTATTTTATTTTTTTATTTTTGAGACAGAGTCTCACTCTGTTGCCTGGGCAAGTGCCATGGTGCAGCCTAGCTCACAGCAACCTCAAACTCCTGGGCTCAAGCGATCCTCCCGCCTTAGCCTCCCGAGTAGCTGGGACTACAGGCACGAGCCACCACACCTGGCTAATTTTTTCTATTTTTAATAGAGATGAAGTCTCACTCTTGCTCAGGCTGGTCTCGAACTCCTAAACTCAAGCAATCCTCTCACCTCAGCCTCCCAGAGTGCTAGGATTACAGGGCTGAGCCACCGTGCTCGGCTGACACTTTTCTTTTGTAAACTATTAAAAAGAATCTACGGATAAAAATGTTTCCAGATTTTAACTATAGTTTTTCAAATCTGACCATATTTTTAAACCTGATCTATTAATATCTGACAAATTTTAATTTCATGTTCCTCTTCTAGCATGGGGCAAAAGAGAAAAAATCAATTTAGAGCACCTAGATCATCCATTACCCAACTGATGTGATCTTTAAAACCTGAGAGCCAAAAAAAAAAAAAAAACCTGAGAGCCAATATAACCCATTAACTTTAAGAGGAAATTGTTGAAAAAGATAATAACATACAATAAATAATATTAATTTTTGTTTTGGCTATATTTTAAAATTCTCTATTAAAATTAGTTTAATAGAGTCCCTAGAAATTTATGGCAAATACATACATATTAAGTCATACATAGGTCCAGAAATTCTATACAAGGGAATTTCTTATTCTAGACATGAGTACAAGAGGCTCTAAAGAAACCTGAATGCTTCTCTTCACCACACTGGACCTTAGGTCATAGACACCAAAAGGAAGATGATTTCTGATGCATTTTCCAGCTAATACTTATACCAAATTCATGACTGAACAACCTGGGTTCTAGATAGGGAATTTATGTTACTAACACTTAAAGTGTTTAATAATCAGAGCTCCTTTATTAAGTCTCTGAAGGCCATTGTGAATGTTTTAATGCAACCAATTAACAAGAAATATAACATTGAAATATCAACACACAAAATTCTATTGTACCAAGAAAAATAATTATAGTGGCACAGTTTCACTGGTACCTAGTTATGAAATATACAGGCATGTCACCTCTATGCTTCTAATAGAACCTGTAATTACAAGTAAATAAAATATGGTGTAAGTGAAAAGTTGTTTTGACATTACTAGAGAATTGTGCAATTCATTTTGTTTCCCTTCGTGTGTCACCTCAGAGTTATTTTTTTTCTCCTTCTTCTAATTGAGTGTACCTCAATGATCTACAAGGTATAAGCAGTATTATTTTTCAGGAATAAAACACCTAGCCTTGAACTAAACTATTGCATTTTAGGAGGATCTTCTGCATGGTCAATCCAATTTGGGATACATACAACCAAACATTGCAGCTTAAAATACTAAACTTTTAATTACTTTTAAATAATCTCTTTCCATACTTAAATCACCAAAACGTAATACCTTGTTGTAATTAAGCAAACAATTTATTTGAGCTTCTTAATATAACTAGATTTCCTTACTTTTTTCTTAGATTCAGCTATAAATTAAGCAATGCACAACTTAAGTCTGAACAGATTATCACAGAAACATGCATAAATTAGAAAGAATAAGTCACAGTTGAAGATTACATGAAATCTCAAATCAGAAGCTCAAAAGTGCTAAATATAAAACTTCTATCAAGTGTATGTCTGAGGATTTTGTGAAACTACCTTTCTAACTTGAGCTAGTAGCTTAGACTAATAATAAATACAATATGCTCTTTTTCCCATCCTCCCACTAACCCGAACTATCATACTTTTCTTCAGCTCTTAAAATATACTCAGAGGCCATACAGCACCCCACATAAAACTAAAGAGAAAAGGAGAGAGGAGAGAATACCTCCGCCATTGGTGTAGGTCAGGTACGGAAATCTCCACACATTTCCCAATCCCACTGCATATCCAACCATAGATAGAAGATAATCTGATTTTTTGGACCAGTTACCACGGTCCTGATTCTCATCATTTTCACCAACATGGAAGTTCTCTGATGAAGCTGTCACTGTCTGGGAAAGAGAAAATATCAACACCTTGTGTTTCTACTATTACAAATTCCACAGGAGCATAATTTCACAAATCCGCAAAGTAACAGAAAAGTGGCGGGAGGTGGGGGAAGAAATTTTGAAAATCATAGCCAAAAGGAATTCTTTCTAAGGTTGAGGAGATTTGTGCTGACAGCTAATTTCACTTTATAACATTTACCCTTTGAATGAGAAAAGTTCTGTATGTAGATATCTTTTCTACTCCTTCAGTGGAGATAATCCACATTTTGGTGAAAAGGTTAAATGTCACACCAGCTTGGAGGGCAAACGCTAGTGGACAAACCAGCTTTCAAATGCAAAACTCTTAAAGATTAATTAAGTAAAATCAACACTCTTGACATTGTAGCAGATCTCTAAGAAGAAAGATCAAATGTAGCTTCTATTGGAAAAAAGAAATCATTCATAGACTTTTCTTATGGACTGATAGTTTTAGATGTTTTGAGTTAAGGGAAGTTTAACTTCTCTGTCTTGGAAAGTAAAATCGGTGCTTTTCTAAAAGCCACAGAATAATATGCAGAGACAAATTCTCCTTCCCACCAGGTGGAGCAGTTCTCTAGCCACTTTTGGCAGGGGATGGGGGGAGCAGGGATTCTTTTCCAAACTGTTAGCAGCTCCGGGGTATGGAGGGTTGCGCAGGTCAGATAAGGACATGTACTTTTTCACTTCCCTCCAACATATGGACCTAGTCTGGAGAGGGACAGAGAATAGGATTTTGTGGGTACTCACAAGGCAGAGGATGAGATAGCCTTGCCCTAAGGGTTCTAGCTACTGGAATAAGCACTATTCACTTTTTCTCTACTCTATGGGGACATCTCAGGCACACTAGAATATAGTTGAACAGAAATTTGGAAAACAAGGAGCAGCCACAGAGAGCAAAAACAGACTACCCTCCAATTAAATTTTCCCTCCTCCAGCCCTCCACACCTCCCACAACTCCCAGACCCCTACCTCTTTCCCCCTGCACTTGAAGAAGCTCAGGCACTTCAACTTGTCCATGGTTCACTCACTCCCTCGCTTGATCCACCTTGCCTTCTCTCGCAGTCTGGCTGAGCTTGACTGGTGGCAGGTGCACACTCCCCTGTTCCTACCTGCCAAAGTGAGCCACCTTGCCCAGGGGTGGGACCATTTATGAAGGGAAGCTCTCTCTCCTCCCCCTCCTGGGCACCCAGTCGTGTCAAATACCGGAAGAGACCAAAGTGAGGCTCTGGTTTTTCCCCAGGTAAGCCTACATGTAGCAATCACCTGCCCGAGTCCCAGGAAAGGGCTGGGCTGTGAGAGAGTGGAGCAGCCTGAGCCTAGATGACTGACAGCCTTTGACTCAGAGCCACGCAGGTCCCTTTGCAATCTCGTCTCCTTCCCTGGGTTCCCCGCTTCCTCCTAATTTCACCTCTCAGTCTGGTCTCTGTCCTGAGGCCAAGTGCTGGTTTCCTCTGGTGCTGGAGGAGGGTGGGTCACAGTCTTTGGGACCCATTCTGTTCCCTAAGATTCCCCTGAATGGACCATACTGCCCTAGGCCCTCAGATTTCCCAAAGTTTTGCCCGTCACTAGAAAGCACTTGATCCCCTCAGATAAATGCTGCTTCCAGAGGAAAAACCCCTGAATTGGGCACCTTGAAAAGCAGCCAGATGAGATAAGATTACCCAGCTGGCTCTGTCTGAAAAGAGAGACTTTGAGCCCATGTCTCAGGCTCCTTTCTCAGCCTTCAGAACAGCTTTGCCTTTTACAGGGATTGCTTTGTGTAGTATTTCAAAGAAGCCAAACACGAACAAATTATTGAGCAGGTTTATGAGAAATTCTAGCCCTAACAAAGGACTCCACTCTGCAAGAAAGGTGAGGCCTATAAAATAAACTATGAGGAAACATCCCAGCTTGACCAAGGAGGAAATAATTATTATATTGCTGTTTACCAATATAGCACCTTTTCATCAGAAAAGTCAAAGGATTTAAACTCAGCCTGTATAGGTAAGAGACGGTAGTGGCAGTTCTATGAAACACAGGAAAATCCGTGCACACAGAGGAGCCAGCAGATAGCCCAATTCTGTACCCAATCTACAGCTCTTTGTTCTCCACTAACTGACAAGAATTTTCCATTTGCAATAGAAATATGCCCTGGGGAATCTGGGCAGGTAAGGTAGAGGAAAGTCTATAAGGGAAATAGGGAGGCAGTAAGGAGAAAGTATCAATACGTTTTATCTAACTTTGTCTTGAACATAACAATGGTTGGCGTGCATGTGTGCGTGCGTGTGAGTGTTGAAGAGGACAGTGAGAGCACATGAGTGTGTGCCTATTAGTATTATATACTACAGGTATGACTATAGGCTAAGATAAAGGAATTATTAGCCTGTCTTAGACGTATGAGGGAAGGGAGCTGAAAAGCAAATCTAATAGCATTTACCAAACTATCAAAATCCCACAGAAATAAAAGGGGCCCACCATGGGGTACTGCAAACAGTTGGTAACTGAGGGAATAGAAGGAGAAAAGGAATCCTAGGGATAGAGAGATTATGGAGATCACAAGGCAGAGATGGGTGGTATACAATGGGAACAACCAGCAATTTTCCCTGCCTGCTACACAGTAGAGGAGCTTCTAACACCATTGAGAGTTAGAATATCTGAGGCATAAAATTTAAGATAGATATTAGATAATGTACTTGTTTCATTATTTGTTTTTGGGGGGGAGTATTATTTCCAATGCATGAATGACATTTTATGACCTGGCTCCTACCTACCTTTTTAGTATCATCTCTTGTCATTCCCTGCCTCAAACTCTTAAGCTTGTGTATCTTTTCCTGTGCATGCACAAACATGCTGTTTCTCACCTCTGTGCCTTTGCTCATGCTATTTCTTCTTCTGGAAATTCCCACCCTCCTCTTCATTTGGCTACTACTCATCCTTTAAGACTCTGCTTAGGTGTCACCTCCTCCAGGTCTTTTCACAGTAGTTCCTCCTCTATTAGCACAGACTAGGTTTAGATGACTCTCCTCTGTATCCCTATGATACTCTATATTCTTTTTATATTGTGTGAAATTACTTGCTTATAGTCCTCTAGACTTCAAGTTCTTTGAGGGCAGTGAGACTGTCTTAATCCTTCCAAGGATCTAGCACAGAACCTGATGCAGAGCAGGCATTCAGTGAGTGTTTTTTAGAACATTTGGTTCTAACAGGCCATTTAATGACTTTATTGTCAAAAAAGGGAAAGAACAACTGGTCTAGAATATACCTGCAAAAGATCCTGAAATACGAGGATTATGTTTCTCTTCTTTGGGCCCTAACTTATCAACTCATGAACAAATCATGTTTATGAATTGCTTATTTATTTCGAACTTCGAAGAAGTGTAGAAGTTGAAAGGGCAAAAGAGAGAGGGAACTACATAAAGTCAGTCACAAGGACATGAACTAGCATGGTGTGGGAGAATGGGAGAAGAGTCTGCTGGTTATTAGACTCACAAGAAATAAGGTTGGAGAGAGAAAATGTGGCCATTCATGTGCCTTGTGATCCAGGACTAGGCTATGGTCTGAAAGGTAATACTCAACTGATTGATAACTTGGGAATAACACATGGAAAGCTCTGCTTTAGTTGTGCAAAAACACCTCAAAATTATAATTAATGGTCTCCATACACTGAGTTGTACAATTCTGGACTTTTAAATATGGCCCATCTGTTCCAGGACACACACACCATAGCCATGAATCTGATTCACTTTTTAAAAAAAAGTATTGTCAGCAATTGAAAGGTTTATTTAGTAATAAGTCACTAGAAACTAAAAAATCAGCTTATAACTGTGATTTTTGTCCAGGAAACAAAGTTAAAATAAAAACTGATCCAATAGTCCCATCACATTTTTTTCTCTTCTAAGTTTATGTCATTAATCATGGAAATCCCTTCAGTCTTCTTTTTAGTGGCTAAAAATAAAGGGGATTCATTACCTAAAGATTTCTTCTGGCTATTTGGATGTGGAGAATTTTGACAAATGAGAAGAAATTTGAACACTCTCATGAAACCCAGTGACTTACTGAGCAACCACACTGTTTTCTAGCCCTCTTCTAGAAGAACTCTTTTAAACTTCGCCAGCTGAAAGTCTGAGAGAATGAATCCTAGTAGTTGGTCCACAGTAAAAATAATATAAATTCCTGTCATAATAAATGTGTATACATAAATTTTGCCTTTAAAGTTTGTAGTTTCAGACATTAATCACTTTATTTAAAAAATCAGATTTGACCCATAGTCAAAATATTAGTGAATTATTTCTAGAAAAGTTTGCTCTAATTATAAGAAACAAGACTTATTTAAGAAAGACAACCATGTAGATATTCTTGCTGTCAGCCAAGGAAGTATTGATTCTCTAGCTACATCAACTAGTGAATGGACAGAGAATACACACACTGCTTTCCTACAGAATATAAAGGACAACATGCCAAAGAATCTTGAAAAAAAGAGCTCTGGATGCTTGATTTTGTACTGGTACTTTCCAAACAGGGAAAGTAAATGTGTTAAGTTTTATGTTCTTATTAAATTAGCTATAGTATACCATAAAGCTTTTTAAATATAAACTTTATATTGAAGTGTGACATACATACCAAAAGTGCACAAATGATAGGTGTACAGCTTGATGAATTTTCACAAACTACCCACTCCCATACAACTAGCAGCAAGTTCAAGAAACATTACCAGAATCCCGATAGTGGCTGCTGACTGATCGGGGTGGTGGTTGATGAAGGCTGGGGTGGCTGTGACAATTTCTTAAAATAAGACAACAATGAAGTTTGTCACATCTACAGATTCTTCCTTTCATGAAAGATTTTTCTGTAGTATGCAATGCTGTTTGAAAACATTTAACCCATAGTAGAGCTTCTTTCAAAATTGGAGTCAATCCTCTCAAACCCTGCCACTGCTTTATCAACTAAGTTTATGGAATTTTCAAAATCTTTTGTTGTCATCTGAACAACGTTACACAGGATCTTCACCAGGAGTAGATTCTGTCTCAAGAAACCACTTTCGGCTGGGTGTGGTGGCTCACAACTGTAATCCTAGCACTTTGGGAGGCCAACGTAGGAGGGTTGCTTGAGCTCAGGAGTTCAAGACCAGCCTGAATAAGAGCGAGACCCCATCCCTACAAAAAATAAAAAAATTAGCCAGGCAACATGGTGCACACCCATAGTCCCAGCTACTTGGGAGGCTGAGGCAGGAGGATCATTTGAGCCCAGGAGTTGGACGTTACAGTCAGTTATGATGTTGCCACTACACTCTACCTGAGGTGACAGAGCAAAACTCTGTCTCCAAAAAAAAAAAAAAAAAAAAAAAAGACAAGAAAGAAACCACTTTCTTTGCTCACTTTACTCATCCATAAGAAGCAACTCTTCATCTGTTCCGTTTTATCATGAGATTTCAGGAATTCAGTCACATCTTCAGACTCCACTTTTAATTCTAGTTCTCATGTTATTTCTATCATATCTGTAGTTACTTCCTCCACTGAAGTCTTACACTCCTCAAAGTCATCCACGAGTGTTGGAATCAACTTCTTCCAAATTCCTGTTAATGTTAATATTTTGACCTCCTCCCATGAACCACAAATGATCTTAATGATATCTAGAATGGTGAATCATTTCCAGAAGATTTTCAATTTACTTTGCCAAGACTCATCAGAGGAATCACTACCTATGGCAACTATAATGTTGTGAAATATATTTCTTAAATAATAAGACTTGAAATTTGAAATCATTCCTTGATCCACAGGCTACAAAATGGATCCAGTGTTAGTAGGCATGAAAATAACAGTAATCTCCACCAGAGCTCTTGGGTGACCAGGTGCATTGTCAATGAGCAGTAATATTTTGAAAGCAATCTTTTTTGTCTGAGCAGTAGGGCTCAACAGTGGGCTTAAAATATTGAGTAAACCATGCTGTCAGATATGCTGTCATCCAGACTTTGTTGTTCCATTGAAAGAGCACAGGCAGAATAGATTTAGCGTAATTGTTGAGAGCCCTAGGATTTTCAGAATGGTAAATGAACATTGGCTTCAACTTAAAATCACCAGCTGCATTAGCCCCTAACAAGAAAATAAGCCTGACCTTTGAAGCCAGGCATTGACTTCTCTCTAGTTATAAAAGTCCTATATGGGGTCTTCTTCCA